TTGATTTTTTTTTGGTTTTTGGAGTAATCAGGGGTGTTAAACCCTTTCGTGACTACTCTTATTAGTAATCGAAAGAAATTAAACTCAAAACCTCTTAAATAATACACTCATAAGTTTTTATCATCTCATTCGACGACCCAAAAGTGGTTTAATATAATGGATATTGTAATCATGTTAAACCATTAGATGTTTTAATTAAACATTATGAAATAAGGAGGTAAGGCTATCCTCAAAATCATTGAAAGTAAAGAAGCATGGTTGATAATAGTCACACAAGTGAAGGGAAAAGGCCTAGAGATGACATATGACAGAGATGATTGCAATAAGGGAAAGGGTAGCTTTTGTTGTCGATGAAATTTGAAATTCAATTGATTTGATTTAAATATTAACATCGATGCTACAGACACCGAAAATGAGTACCAAAAAATTACACCGAAATACGCAACCTTTGACTCGAACGTCGCCACGTAGGACACGATAAAAGAATTCCATGAATGGATGGCCGTCCAACATTTTCGGACAATCCATTCATTTAGGAATGGATGATGATCCATAATAAATATTTAAAAATAAGCATACTTGATGGACTCCTGTCCATCTAATGTGGACGACCGTCCCTATAAAATGGACGGTCGTCCGCAATAGATGGATTGGCGTCCATTTAGTGTTAAAATATTTTTTATAAAAAATAAAAACAAAAAAACATTGGAAGGGACAGCCGTCCATAATAGATGGATTGGCATCCATAAGCAATACAATTTTTTTTTTTTTTAATGAAAACAAAAAATCAGATGGACTGCAGTCCATGTTATGTTAAAAATTTTAAAATTTTAACTTCTTCCCGCCTATCGAGCTTGTGATTGTTGTCACTCCTACAAAAGCTTTTGTTGTTGATGAAAGTGCTGCTGTTGCTGCAATTGATGATGTTGAAGTTCAAGTTGATGTTGTTGTTGCAGATGAAGGGTCAAGAGATGTTCCATATCTAGAGCTGGATGGTTTGCCAACTGTTGTTGATGAATCAGATTCTGATTTGGCAACTGTTCTAAAACTAATTCATTTAGGCATGTAGGAGGAAACATATTTCGCTATTGGAGTTGTTGTTGCTGTAATTGTTTAGACAAAAGCTGCTCCGCTAGATCAAAATGGTTGGATTCCTGTTCCATGCGTCGCATATGGTGAGTAGCCATAGGATCTTGATACACAAAGGGGGATAAGATATTGGAGGAAGAGGAATAGAAAAGGAAGGATGTTGAAGAGAAGCTAACAAAAGCGGAAAGTATTGCAGAAGAATTGAGAGAAGCTGCAAAGCAAGAAGCTCAAGATCATTCTACTGAGATTTGGAAGCACAATACTGCTTTTATTGAACTTGTGTCGAACCAAGAGCAACTTGAAGCAGAATTGGGCCGAGCACTTAGGCAAGTTGAAGCTGCGAAACAAGAGCTTAGTCCAGTCTTGGTTAAATTATTAAAAGCGAAGAAGAAGCAAGCTGAACTGGAAACAGAAGCACTGAGTATGTGCTTTTTGGACAGCCGTCCATATAATTTGGACGTCCGTCTATATTAATTGGATGTCAGTCCATAGAATTTGGATGCCAGTCCATAGAATTTGGACGTATGTCCATTATTTTTTATTCTATTTTTTTAATACTTTTTATGGACCCTGTCCATCTCATTATGAACGACCATTCAAGAAGTATGGACGGTCGTTCGAAACCGTTGGACAACCATCTATTTACGTTAGTGTTCTATGGCCCAATGTGTTGATGTTCACGTATTTCGGTGTAATTGTTCGGTACCAAATTTTCGGTGGATATAAAATTTTTGAAATATTAAATATATATGGCTGTAATGAAGCTGCCTATCAATTTTTGTTTTAACATCCAAGCCGAGGGATAATAAAAAATGTCTGTTTCTATATGTGAAAGGACTGTTTGTCTCTTTCAAACGGGGCTTCTAGGTAGAAAGAGAAAAAAATAAGGCCGAACGACTTATGCATACCCAAGGTTTGTTGAAACGACAAGTTGGTACTCAAAAGGTTTTGAAACGACAAATAGGTACCTTCCGTCATGTTCTGTTAGCGATTTTCGTTAGATAATAGTGAAAAGACTAAAATGCCCTTGAAAGTTTAATTTTTAGTTTTTTATAAATTTAAAAATTTCTAAAAAACCCCCTAGGTTTGCTAATTTGACTAAACACCCCAATATATAAAAATTTTATAAAATAACAAAAACACTCCCGCCACCTGCAGTGCCAGATTCCGGCCACCACCGCCGGAATCTGGCCGGAAAATTGCGTTACGACACAGACCCATCGGATCTGTGTCGTAGCGCGTAGATCTTTCATTTTCCGGCAAGATCCGTGGTTGATCTTGCCGGAAAAGACCAGATCTACGGCCAGATCTGGCCGTCGAGACCGGAAGCTTGCCGGAAAATTGTGTTACGACACAGACCCATCGGATCTGTGTCGTAACACGTCGATCTGGCGTTTTTCGGCCAGATCCGTGGCGGATCTGGCCGGAAAAGGCCACATCGATGTGTTACGACACAGATCCGATGGGTCTGTGTCGTAACACAATTTTCCGGCCAGATTCCGGCGGTGGTGGCCGGAATCTGGCACTGTGGTGACGGGGGTGTATTTGTTATTTTATAAAATTTTTATATATTGGGGTATTTAGTCAAATTAGCAAACCTAGGGGGTTTTTTAGAGATTTTCAAAAAACTAAAAATTAAACTTTTAAGGGCATTTTAGTCTTTTCACTATTATCTAATGAAAAACACTAACAGAACATGACGGAAGGTACCCATTTATCATTTTAAAACCTTTTGGGTACCAACTTATCGTTTAGACAAACGTTGGGTATGAATAAATCGTTCTCCCAAAAAAATAAAAATAAACTGTCACTTCAGTAAGTGGCTTGCAAGCTTGGGCCTAAATTATTATTAGTGTATCCTAATGATGCATTTTGATGTGATAGTTATTTAGTGCATTAATAAATTTGCCTTATCATATATTATTATCAATTTTATTGCCAAATTTTTATTGTTGTTTGTTTGTAAAATTGGAGTAGGTGATCGGTTTTGTCACGGGGGAAAAATAACATTACGTATAATTGAAACTTTGATTAATAAAAACAATATGTACAAACTAATCCACTTATATTTAACATGAGACGTTTCCATTTCCATTTTCATGTATAATTACTATTCAATTCTTCAAATTATTTTTTATATAAAATAAAAAATATGATTGTACAGTACCAGAAGACACAAGTCCATAATTAAGAAACTACCTATGTATTGTCTTATTTCAGGTATGTTAAAAATACGAGCATTGTATGGATAAGATCTGTTTTTTTTTTTTTTTTTGGATCAATGAAAGCATTCAGATCAGTTTACGCACACCATAACTAATCATTCGAGACTCTAAAACTGTCGATTAGGCAAAAGCTCAAGTAATCACCACTATTAGTAGCTTAGGCATCTCCAACCCAATGTCATTTTGGTGTGTGGAAAATGTGCTTCAACTCAACACTAAAAACTATACTAAATTGGTATAAGTGAACAGTGTCACACCAAATTTGGCGTAATACTGTTCATCCACACTAATTTGGTGTGATACTATTTATCTACTATAAAATATATTTTATTTTCTTTTTTTGTTATTTGTATTTATGTTAATTTGATTATTATTTATAATAATAAATTCATAATAATTATATAATTAAAAAAATGATGAAAAATTAAAAACAAAACTTTATTCAATGCAAATATTAAACTACAATAACTCAAAATAAAAATTTATACTAATTTAAAAACACTAAAATTAAAAAAAAAAATACAACATAAACTAAAATAACAATTTAGTATTTCGGTAGATTTGTTTTGGATCCTTTAAGATCATCAAAATATTGGCTAGAGCTATTTTGAGATCCTTAACGTTCTTGTTGAGCTCTTTTTTGCATAATTCTTGATTGCTAATTTTGAAAAAACTCACATAAGCTTGGATTGATTATATAATTCAAATCCTTGAATAAAATGTAATGTTTATTTGTCTTTTTTTTGTTTGTGGCATTTTATATTAAATATAATGTTTATTTGATTAAATAAATGCTTAATTTTATTAAATTAGTATAATTTTTAAAATAGTAATTATTTAATAAAAATATCATTCTCAATATTTAATTAATATATACAAAAATAATCAATGAAACAAATATCATTCTTTTACCATTAGGCTGCTTAATAACCATTTACGTGTGTTTTTATAATTTGAAAAAAGAAAAGAAAATTTACCGTCAGGCCACACATTCAAATTTCTTGAAAATGGTTAATGGTTCCAGTTCAATGAACATATGAAATTAATGAACTTGCAAAATAAAATAATATTTTTTATCATACACAGACTGGAAATGAAATTTTGAATGGAACACAAGGGAATTATTTTAACACCAAATTCATTAACCCTGGTCTTTATTTAAAGGTTCTTCTCTCAATCTGATTCAATATATAATTATTCAACCAACGGTTTGGAAAGGCTGGAAATTTCCCCCCTTTTTTTTAATGCAATATTATACATTTTTACTAACAATATTGCCAGAAGGATAGAGCCAAAAATTCAATACAACAGTTAATGAACTAATTAATAAGTAAAGTAAATGTAATTTATTATAATAATATAAGTTAAACAGGTATATTATATGGAGAATAGCAGGTTATTTCCCTTCTCAAGGAGAGAGACAACATGTGAAAACAAATAAAATATACACAAACTTGTACATAACATAACATACCTACCAACATGCATATATCAAATTAATATAAATTAGAGTAATATTTTTTAATAACCTTTTAATCAAATCTGGGTAGAATCAGCATCAGGTACTTTAATTATCCATTAATCAAGAGATGAAAACTGAAATGCCTTCCAGGACCCCACCATTAGTTGTCATCAATAAGAAACTTCATGAGAAGGAGCTTAGTCTTCTTCAAGTCAATTCGCAAAAAATACTAAATAAAAAATACTTGAACCACAGTGCCAACTGCTCTCATCTTTTATTTGTTATTACTAAGTTTGTTTATATATATGCCATCTCTTTCAGTTTCATTCCATTACACTATCTTCAACTTATAAGCTTCTGTTTCCGCTTTCTTAGTTTTGAAGCTTCATGGGATTTTGTCCCATTTCCCAGATGGTTTCAAGAGTTGTGGAGATGTTATGTGTACGGCATAAAACAAAGGTGAAAGGCGTTGATGATGGCAAGAAGAAGAAGATCAAAGGGACTGTCGTTTTGATGAAAAAGAATGTGTTGGACTTCAATGACATGACGGCTTCAGCTATCGATCGGGTTTGCGAGCTGCTGGGCAAAGGCGTTTCTATTCAGCTTATCAGTGCAGATCATGCAGACCCAGGTTGGCTTTGTCTTTTTCTCCCAAAGTTTCTTGAATCCATTTTGATTGATATTTAAAACTGGAAATAATCTACTATGTGGTGTTGTTTTGCAAAATAGGCTCAACACTTAAAGTAACTCTGCGCATTTTTGCATCTGCAATTTACTGTTTCCTCAATAACTTGCTGATGTTAATGTGATGACAGAATTATTGATTCAGTTTGTTTAAAATGAAAGTAAACTCGAACGGTTTCTTGAAATCTTGCTACAGTGAATGCAATAGTGGAAATACCAACCGAGTTTATAAAATTATGGCTGAAATTTTGTGCTGTGTGTTTGTGTAGCTAATGAGGGTCGAGGAAAGCTCGGAAAGGTGGCATACGTGGAGAACTGGATTTCATCAAAAGCTTCATTAACTGCAAAAGAAACTGAGTTTACAATTACATTTGACTGGGATGAGAATATGGGTTGTCCTGGAGCTTTCATCATCAGAAATCATCACCATAGCCAGTTTTACCTCAAGACACTCACTTTAAAAGATGTTCCTGGTCATGATTCGGTACATTTTGTCTGCAATTCCTGGGTCTACCCAACGCATCGTTACAAGTATGATCGTGTATTTTTTTCAAACAAGGTAAAAAGGAAACTCTATGCTTAACCCTCTGTTTTCATCTTAATCTTGGGTGTTTTTTAAAGCATGGACAATTTTCCCATGATTATTTTAGAGGGTTTGAATAATATGAAGACTTAGACCCACTATAGCTAGTGTTTTCTATCATGATTGTTAGCTTTAACTGATTTTCTATTTTACTTCCTTTTTCGTGGAAAAATCATATTGTCTAATTTTTCCGGATAGATTAGACTGCCCTTTCCATTTGCTTTCCACATCATAACTTTTGTTGGCGTGGGAAAGCTGCAAAAAGGGATCCCAGATCAATATCTGACCAAACCAAGACATCTATGAAAACTTTATTCTAATGTGTAAATAATTAAGATTTCCTTTAATTAAAACAGTAGGATGTAATAACAGACAATTTTGTGATTTGTGTCAGACATACCTTCCATGTGAAACACCAGAGCCATTACGCAAATTTAGAGAAGAAGAACTCATAAATCTCAGAGGAAATGGGGAAGGTGAGCTTAAAGAATGGGACAGAGTATATGATTATGATTACTACAATGATTTGGGGAGTCCAGATGACGGTCCAGCATACGCCCGCCCTGTTCTTGGCGGATCACAAGCGTATCCATATCCCAGAAGAGGAAGAACTGGAAGGAAACGGACAAAAGCTGGTTAGTTAACTAAAACTGAAACAAGTTTCCCTGTTTGACACAAACAATGACTAGGAAGATTGAACAATTTTTAACTATGTTAAGAACTTCAATTTTTTATCGCTTTCATACAGTGATTTCAGTTTTCTAATGGTAACAGATCCCAATAGTGAGAAAAGACTGCCACTTCTGAGTCTAAATATTTATGTTCCAAGAGATGAACGGTTTAGCCACCTTAAGTTTTCAGATTTTCTTGCCTACGCTCTGAAGTCGCTGTTTCAAGTACTGCATCCAGAGATTGCATCCTTATGCGACAAAACCATAAATGAATTCGACACTTTTGATGATGTAGACAATCTATATAAAGGCAGTGTCAAACTACCAGATGCTAAAACTGTTAGTAAGATAAGGGATCGTATACCATCGGCAATGCTCAAGGAACTTTTTCGAAATGATGGTGAGAGATTCATGAAATTCCCACTACCTGATGTAATCAAAGGTACAACACATTTTCATAATACTTGCAACAACCCAGTATTTTAACATTTATTCAACTTTTGCATGTGAATTATGACATTATATGGATTTTTCATTCCAGATGATAAGTCTGCTTGGAGGTCAGATGAAGAATTTGGAAGAGAAATGCTAGCTGGAGTAAATCCAATTATCATCAGCCATATCCGGGTAATATAGATCTTCAACTAGATTGGTTGATTACTGTTGTTATATGGGTTTTCACTTCTATAATTTTCTTAAATATAACTGCAGGAATTCCCCCCAGCCAGCAACCTAGACCCTAAAGTATATGGGAACCAGAACAGTTCAATAACAAGAGATGACATTCAAGGGAACATGAATGGGCTCACTGTAGATGAAGTACAATTTATGCTTAATCGAATGTGCTTCTCTCTGTTTTATTAGCTCCTTTTCTTTTCTTATGCTATGTTAAACTTGATACAGGCAATAGAAAAAAAGAAGCTGTTCATATTAGATCACCATGATGCATTGATGCCATACCTGCAGAAAATAAACTCCACTACCACAAAGACATATGCCAGCAGAACCCTGCTCTTGTTACAAGATGACGGGACATTGAAGCCATTGGCAATAGAGTTAAGCTTGCCACATCCACAGGGGGACCACCATGGCGCTGTTAACAAAGTTTTCACACCGGCAGAACATGGCATTGAGGGTACAATATGGCAACTAGCCAAAGCTTATGCAGCAGTGAATGATTCTGGCTACCATCAGCTCGTTAGCCACTGGTAATTGCTGACTGGTAGACAATATTTAGAAGCTTGGTTTTAGTTTAAGAACAACATTCATACGCTTCTAAACAAAATTTGCAGGTTAAACACCCATGCAGTGATAGAGCCATTTGTGATTGCAACTAATAGGCAGTTGAGTGTGATTCATCCAATATATAAGCTTTTACATCCCCATTACCGGGATACAATGAATATAAATGCCTATGCTCGACAGATCCTTATCAATGCTGATGGGGTGCTTGAAAGAACAGTCTTCCCAGCAAGATATGCACTGGAAATGTCATCTGGAATATACAAAAATTGGGTCTTCACTGAGCAGGCACTCCCAGCTGATCTGCTAAAGAGGTAAGCTCACAGATCTTGAATTCAAAACATTTGCTATTAAATTTGATTCTCATAAATGAAACTTTGCCCCTTTCAGAGGAGTGGCGGAGCCAGACTCGAGCCAACCTCATGGAGTTAGGCTTCTGATTGAGGATTACCCTTTTGCTGTTGATGGGCTGGAAATCTGGTCGGCAATTGAAACTTGGGTCAGAGAATACTGCTCTTTCTACTACCCCACAGACGAATTGATCCAAGGAGACAATGAACTCCAATCGTGGTGGCATGAAGTCCGCAATGTTGGGCATGGCAACAGGAAAGATGAACCATGGTGGCCTGAGATGCAGACACGAGATGAGCTTGTGCAATCTTGCACCATTGTCATATGGGTGGCTTCTGCCCTCCATGCAGCTGTAAATTTTGGACAATATCCATATGCAGGCTATCTCCCGAACAGACCAACTGTGAGTCGCCGCTTCATGCCTGAACCAGGAACCCCTGAATATGCAGAGCTTGCGGAGCACCCTGACGTGGCCTTCCTGAAAACAATCACAGCACAGCTTCAAACCCTCCTCGGAGTGTCCCTCATAGAGATTTTGTCACGCCATTCAACTGATGAGGTTTATCTTGGGCAGAGAGATACTCCTGGGTGGACTTCTGATGATGAGCCATTAGCTGCATTTGAAAGATTTAGAGAAAGATTGATAAAAATTGAAAAGAAAATTATAGAAATGAACGATGACAAAAGATGGAAGAACAGAGTCGGGCCTGTCAATTTGCCTTACACCTTGCTCTATCCTAATACTACAGATTACTCCAGAGAAGGTGGGCTCACAGGAAAGGGCATTCCCAACAGTATCTCAATCTAAAGTTTTATATCTGTAAAGAGGTTTTTTTGGGCAGCTTTGAATTTGATTGTTAGTATGTTGTGTTTAACAAGCCAAAGAGTGCCAATTAGCTTTCTCATTTTTGTTTCCTTGATCTTGTTCTGAAAGCAGAATGTGTGTGCAGGTTCTCAAAGATGTTATGCAAGTAGCTATGTACTGTAAAAATGGCGAAATGTACTTGTTTAAATAAGTAAATGTCTTTTAACTGCAGAGATGCAGAAATCCTCTTTGCATTTTTATTTGCATTGAGCTCCAACCATAAATCTCAGTTTCGAACTCAAAAATTTCCTTAGAACAAAGAAGATAAAACAATCAAAAGTTGAGGCACCCAGAAACAAGAATGTCTGAGTCCCTAGCAATGTAACAGATTCTACCCAAACACTGAAGTGAAACAAAAGCATCAGCCATTTAAACCAGCAATCATAATTCAGAATTCAACCAGATAAAACCCAGTTTCCACGTTTAAAAGGTTTTTGATTATTAAGATAAATGATCTTTATTATTACAAGCAGCTTCAAAGCACCTAGCAATTATAATCAGAAACATACCATAAAATTTTCCTTTAAGATATACAATAAACAAACTTCACCATAACAAAAATTAAGAGCACTTAAAGAAAGACCCTGAAGTTAAGAATAAAGTGCATTGCGCGGTATAACACATTAAGCAAAAACTAAAAACAACACAATCTTAAGTTTTAACAGTTAAATTGACAAAAAAATAGTAAAGAAGAAGAACAGGGTCAATGCAATCTACTTATCTTCTAAAACAAGAAATTTAAGTGAGAAATGAAATGTGTACTATCAAGAACCAATAATGCAAAAGAATTATGAAACATGAGACATCTACCATCTATTACTCTAAAAAGGCTGCGAGTTTTTGTAACCCATTGTTAAACTCGGAATAAAAATTGTTGGGCACTTACCGAGTTCGTAATACCGATGACTGGATAGAAGCATAATGAAGACGTTGGTGGCAGAAACCGCTAAAATATTTTTGACACCTATCTTTGTCTTATATATTAAATCCACGTTCTAGCTGCTCCGGACGCCATCTGCACGTGATATAAGATCTTAGAAGTTAGAACAGCTCAAGAGTCGGGAGAGATTCTAATGGGCGTGGGAGGATAGTGATACATAATATCCCAGTTATAAATTATTTAATTATTACTAAATGTTTTGGACCAAATGAAAATTTTCATTTTCAAATTAACATTTTCTATTTTATGATCGGGTGTCTGAACCAGTTTATGTGCACCTCAACTAATCTTTTAGGACCCTGAAACTATCAGTTGAATAAGAGTTCTAGTAGCTACCCACATCCATATTAGCAATCAATGAGGGACTCATGATTTTTTTAGTAATATACTCAAGAATCTCTATTAAACTATTCGATCACTAATAAATAGTTATTTCAAATTAAATTCGATTTGCCAATATCACTACTTAGAATGGCACATTGAATTGGATAAATGAAAATTACAATATCACAAAAAATATGCAGTATTATTGTTTTGCTTTTAATTTTAAATATTAATCTTGTTTCAGTAAAGATTATTTAAATAAAGGGTTTTCTTTGTGTATAAAAAATTATTAAGAGAAAATACTGACTTAATTTTTTGTGATAAATCCGGAAACTAAATCCAAGTTAAAGGATATTTTGTGAAATAAAATCTTCTAAAATATATTAAAAGTATAGAGAAAACATTACATTTATAATCTCACTCAAAATTTTGTATTTTCATACCCTTAGAATCTCACTCAATCTCACTCATGCGTACTTAAACTAAATGTTTTATTTGTGCATAAAATCAAGTGGTTAGATGGATTCGAAACAAAAATTAATAAAAAGCCTGAGTTGTCTTAGAGTTAGATATTGAGCAAACAAAAGATACGCAGAAAAAATCGTTCAATGATTTAATAAAAATTCTTACATATATTACTTAAGAGTTACTGAGTTTGAATACCTCTTTATGAATATCTCTTTAATTGCTAATAGGTAAACATTCAAATTCTTACGGTAAGAATTTGAATGTAAGAATAAAAGAAGACGGTAAGGACTAAGGCGTGGGGAAGAGCCAGTATCCAAATCACAAATTCTAATTGGTTCACCCCACATCTCCTTATCCATTGCCCAAAACTTCCGACCACACATCCAAATCCACAAATACTTCAACTCAATATCCTTCTTTTATGTCTATGCGATTATTGATCCATTACTCATTTCAACTATCTATCTGTAATGGCCATGGCAACCCAAGCCACTCTTTTCACTGCCGCCGCCCTCTGCACCGCCAAGTCCAGCGACCGCGCCACCGTCCCATGGAAACAACCATCATCTCTGTCAATCACCACCGCTACCAGACCACTTAAATACGTCCCACGTACCATCAAGGCCATGGCCGAAGAGAAAACCGAAGCCCCAACAAAAGAGGCTCCGGTGGGCTTCACCCCGCCGGAACTTGACCCAAACACCCCATCGCCAATCTTCGGTGGCAGCACTGGTGGGCTGTTGCGGAAGGCTCAAGTGGAAGAATTTTATGTGATCACATGGGAGTCACCGAAGGAACAGATATTCGAAATGCCCACCGGGGGCGCTGCTATTATGAGGCAAGGTCCGAATTTGCTCAAGTTGGCGAGGAAAGAGCAGTGTTTGGCTCTGGGGACAAGATTGAGGTCCAAATACAAGATCAAGTACCAATTTTACAGGGTGTTTCCGAATGGTGAAGTTCAGTATTTGCACCCGAAGGATGGTGTTTATCCTGAAAAGGTGAACCCGGGACGACAAGGGGTTGGGCAGAATTTCAGGTCGATTGGGAAGAATGTTAATCCGATTGAGGTGAAGTTCACAGGGAAGCAGGTGTATGATTTGTAATTTAGAGTGGAAATGTGGTTATTATGTTGTACTTTGTGATTATGTCAAGTATTTATTTATGTATGTTTGTTTCCTTAATTTCTTGAAAATGCTACAGAAATAGCAAAACTTGATCATTTAATCGATCCCTATGTATTTTTAAAGATTCATACCCTAGAATTTTGTTTTTTGTGCAACATTTTTTACCATTCATGGCCTAAAATCAATCTTTCATGGTTTTGTGGAACCCTCTATTCTATACTACAATATAATGTAACATAGAGCAATGACGAGTCATCACTTGGTAACGCAGATTGAACCTAGCTAGTAGGATAATGGTCAGAATCCAGATCAAGCCTAGGCAGAATGTAATTATAAACTCATTCATCTATATATTGCAGAAATATTTCATACTAATGCAATTAAATGATATAAAAAACCACAATAAATAACTTGTTTGTAGTCATAGTGAAATACCTCTTTATAGAAAACAAAGAAAAGAAAATGAGTTAATGACCTATTCCCACCAAGGTATGCCTCAATGACCATTTCTCACCCAAAAAGTTTAAAACTACCACTTTACTACTTAAAGCACAGTTTCGTTATTAAATTTTATTGTGAAGAAAGGTAAGATGGTTAAAAGTCTGTTATAAGTAAGGGTAGGATGTTCAATTACCCTACTCCACAAAACTCCCACCCCCACCACCACCCAAATCAACTCAATCTCTTCATCTTTCGCATAACTTGACCTTTGTCGGCATCGTCGTTGGCTGATTGGGTGCAGTTTTCCATTGATTTTTTCACCAAATAGATAGATCTCCTCACCCCTTTCATCCATTGAGCCATTCCTTAGCAAACTGAAATCGAACTTTTTTCCTCAAAATCCTCCATCATGCGCAATAGCCAACCTAGGCCGTATCGACCATTTTCAGTGTCGACAACTGCTCTCGAAACCACCAAAAAACTCCCCTCAGCCTTTTGAACAAAACCCATTTTCCCCCTCTTTTTTGGTCTCGCCAATCGCCGGCTACAGCCCACTGTTGTGGCCACACAATTTTTGTCGATTTCAATCGATTCCTCCACCGGAAACCACCCTCATCACCACCATTCTTCCCAACAGCCTTGATACCGTTCACTCGTCGATCGCCGCCCTCCTCTCTAGGGTTTGTTTCTTTGCGAGATTGGGGTTTTTGCTCGTCTGATGAAATTAGGGCATTTTGAAGGTTGATTCTTGAAATTCGAAGTTGTAGAAGTGTTATGTGTTTGTGAATTTGATTTTCTGACCACCGATGACCCCCTATCGTCGATTTTCTGAAGCTCTAAGCCACGCCCACCACCTGCTCGACAAAAGTCCTAGGCTAATTTCCAACACCCCACGCCTGCGTGTGCCACGCTCGTGCACCTGCCTGCTGCGCGTATGTCGGTGACCCCCTATTATCGGATTTTGGAGAGTTATTGTGTTTGTTTTGACTGTTGATTGGAATTGATTGAATAGTGGGTTGATTGATTAAAAAAATTAGACTAGATGGAGGTGCTATTGGTGGTGGTACTTGGTAGTAGAGCCGCAGGAGGTGGAGGTGGTGGAGCATTGTTTTAAAACCCAGACCGGTGAGCAACCCGTTATGCTCTTTGGGTCACGGGCCAACCGGTCCAACCGGTTGGACCATCAGTTGGATTGATGATGTCATCACACTAGCATGATGACATCAGCACATAAAAAACCTGTTATTTTATTTTATTTTTTTAAGATTTTTATTTTTTAATAAGACAATAACAACTTAATTACTGCCCAACATGATTCAAAGTTCAATTTCAATAGCAATTCCAACATAATTTAAGTATTTAACAACAATCCAAAGTCCAAATCCAAATATGATGTGTTTATCACTTCATCCATTACATATTAAATTATAAAATACATAATAATTAATAACAAATGTGTTCATCACTTCTTCTAACTCTCAAAGAAAGCCGGTATCAACTTTATAGTTGTCATTGGTTTTGGAATTATAAGTCATTGCGCTATTAGAATGGTACCTCTTTTTCTCAAATGTGTTTTCTATTATCAACTTTATAAATTAAAATTAATGTATCTGATTTATGCAATATAATACTTTCACATTCATTTACCACTGTCAGATATGGTTTTGCACTGCAAATCCTTTTCCAAGCAATCTCTACTTAATTATAAATAAAGCATTTTTATTAATACCCGGCTAAGAGTCACATTGTCATAACACAAAATCTTCTTAATCTTCTCGAGATTCTTCACATCTAACTCACATCTAGAAAGGCACTTTGGGTGATGAAACCTTGCATCATAAAAGCTTATAAAAATAATAATACAAATTACAGCATTTTATAGTCTACTGCAAAAACTCTCTCAGATCAGTCACATAACCAGTCAAGGCAGATGCTGCAGCCGTATATGGTGAAGCCAGATAGATCTGGCCTTCCTAGTGTCAAATTGTCATAATATTATAAGGACTATTTAAATTGAAAATAAACAGTATATACCCAAGCAGAATCCATAATTCATCAACAAATGAAAAACTCTACAACATTAAACAAAAGCTACTCATTAAGATAACTACGATAAAGTGGCAGTAAGTGCATTTGCAATGGCAAAGGGAAAATACAATTGTGACTTCACAAGTAACACATAAAACTTAGAAACCCAATTATCGATACAAGAATTAATTCAACAATGATACAGGAGACGTGAGATGTTGTCAAAATTCCAACGCATGAAATAGGGGCTGAAGGTTAACAATGAGTATCTATAAAAACAGGAAAATTATGAACCAACTGTGCAGGAAATTCAAAAAGAGAAATAAAGCTTTGAAGTTCTGGAAAACAAAGCGCTAGTCTCATAAATCAGATGAGAAACAGAGAGGGCACAAGCTAATTCACCAAAATATTTATACAAAACCACCCAACAAAGAACTATTCTGCTGTAATTGCATATACATTATTCTGCTGTAATTGCAACTATCAGTGGACCTCTAAAAACTAACCCACAAATGCATATACATTATTATGATAAATGCATTAATAAAACAAGTTGAAAAACGAAATGGAGCTGTCGTGAATGGTGTGTTTTTTACCTGGATCGTTGACAAGAGGAGGAATGGAGCTGTCGTCGTCCGGTCATTGTCGTCATCCAAGAATGGACCTGTCGTTGTCGTCGTCGATTTCCAGCAAGGAATGGAGCTGTTGTCGTCGATTTCTGGCGAGGGAGGAAGTCGTCGTGGCGATTTTAGAGAGTTGAGTTGCGATCGATTTCAGCAAAGAATGGTTGCGATTTTATTAAGACTAAGTTTTGATTTGTGTGGGATTTCAGATTTTTGCGATTTCATTAAAAAAATTTCAGAATATTTTGTGAGTAGAGAAAGGAGAAATTGCGAAATGAGAGAAATTAGGGATTTTTTTCCCTTTTCAACGTTGGACCGGTTTTTCTATAGGTCCGGTTGGACCGGTGGTTTGCACTATTCACGCAGTCCATTGACGGATTAAAGCGAGTTATTGCGCAATATCGGGTTTTATATTGACTCGAACCGGACACGTGACTGGTTCCCGATCCAATCGGTTGAACCGGCAGATCCGGTCCGACTTTTAAAACAATGTGGTGGAGTTGGTGGTGGTTCAGGCCACAATGGAGGCTAAGAAGAGAAGAGAAGAAGAAGAGAGAAGGGTATTTCTGTCTTCATAATGAATATCATTGTATTTAATGGAAATTATTAACTGAACATAACGTTTGGATAGTAAAGTGGTGTTTTCAAATTTTTTTGGGTGAAAAGTGTCATTAAAGCAAATCTTGGGTTGGGTGGGAAAAAGTAGTTTACTCAAAAGAAAATTTTGAAACCTTTAAGCTTAAAAGCATATTGGCAGCTGAACCACCTCAATATTAATTACATTGGGCTATCGATCTTCTGGAACAAAATTTGTATAATAGTTTTGTGATATTTATATCATGTGTGTTAAATGTGCAGGATTAGATATCTCGTCCTATTTGATTGAGACCTTTGCAAATCACGATTCACGTGTTTTCAATTTAGATTACCTTACTTGTTTGAGTTACAAACACGCTCTCACATGTGATTTATCGTTCAATAATCTTTTTTTGTTTTTTCATTTTTAATAAACAATTATTAATTCAATACATGTCTAGATGGAATATATGAAGAAAGGCTCTTAATTCAATTCATTTGACAGTAACTTATATATTCGGGTAATTCTGATCACATTGTGTTAAGACTAATATAAGCTAAATCATCAATTTACACATAGACTTTGACATATTTTTTTTTTTTTCTAAAAAGAATTCTTTTTGATGCTCCTTGAAGTAAGGTTTACTTCGAATTACAAATTAAGGAAATAATGCAAATCTTTCTCCTTCTTCTTACTCCATTCTCTCACTCCTTTACGTGGCAGCCGAACGACCCTTATGTGGCAGCCGACGTGATAGATGCCACCTCACAAGGCTGCCATGTCACCCTCCAATGATTCATGCTACCATTCGTTATTAACTAGGTTATAGGATTGAATTACACTGTTATAATACAAAATTTTAACACATATTCTTAGTCTATGATTTAATGTAATCCAATAAATTTCGATAAGAGGTTATAAGAGTTAGTTATTTTTAATGTTAATTAAGTATTTTTTGAGTTATTGAAATACCATGAATCAATATAAATGAGGTTATATTATAGTTTTTTAAATTGTAGAATATTTTGTCCATAGAAGTGTTATAAATCAGGGAAATGTTATAAATATTAAGATACTATTGCTTGATAATGTTATAAATCTTTAAATTAGATTTCGATTCATCTGGTAGCGAAATTCAGTAAGATATTGCTGGAATATCAATTTCAAAATATAAGCTGTTGTCCATAACTCCATATTCTATTTGGCTTATAATATACCCTTAGTATGATGATCAATTATTGGAATTATAAATCATTATTAAAAGTTTCATAAGTGCATGTTGTTTGGTCTGATGTGGCCAATGCAAATCCATCTCAATCTCCCCATCCCTATTATAGTATATCTAACAAATTATTTTATACAATTAACAGTGTAAAGGAACAAGGGATAGAGCTCACAATTAATACTTGTTTTATAGACAAATTAATTAAA